ACACAGACGCTTGCAGACAACTAACTGCTATTCAATCTATAACAGTGAAAAAAAGTTTTTTGGTTTTTAAACGCACGCTATTGTGACACCAGTGAGTGAGTGGTGGCACTGGGCCAATATCCACTGTGAGGATGACACAGAAGCTGGCAGACAACTAACTGCTATTCAATCTATAACAGTGAAAAAAGTTTTTGGGTTTTTAAACGCACGCTATTGTGACACCAGTGAGTGAGTGGTGGCACTGGGCCAATATCCACTGTGAGGATGACACAGAAGCAGGCAGACAACTAACTGCTATTCAATCTATTACAGTGAAAACATTTTTTTTTTTAAATGCAAGCTATTGTGACACCAGTGAGTGAGTGGTGGCACTGGGCACAGTATCCACTGTGAGCCTGACACACCCGCTTTGAGACAACTAACTGCTATTCAATCTATAACAGTGAAAAAGTTTTTTGGTTTTTAAATGCACGCTATTGTGACACCAGTGAGTGAGTGGTGGCACTGGGCACAGTATCCACTGTGAGCCTGACACACCCGCTTTGAGACAACTAACTGCTATTCAATCTATAACAGTGAAAAAAGTTTTTTGTTTTTAAATGCAAGCTATTGTGACACCAGTGAGTGAGTGGTGGCACTGGGCACAGTATCCACTGTGAGCCTGACACAGAAGCTGGCAGACAACTAACTGCAATTACATTACACAACAAAAAAAATGTTGTTCTAGCCCTAAAAAGGGCTTTTTGGGGTGCTGTCCTTACAGCAGAGATCAGATGAATCCTTCAGGACTGTAGTGGACACTGTATACCCTAACCTAGCTATGCATTTCCCTATCTAATCAACAGCAGCTACACTTTCCCTCCTCTCACTAAGCATGCAGCTTGAGAATGAATGTAAAATGGATGCTGTCCAGTAGGTGGGAGGGTCTGCTAGGGAGGGTGTGCTGCTAATTGGCTGGAATGTGTCTGCTGACTGTGAGGTACAGGGTCAAAGTTTACTCAATGATGATGAATAGGGGGCGGATCGAACCGCGCATATGTTCGCCCGCCGTGGCGAACGCGAACATGCTACGTTCGCCAGGAACTATTCACCAGCGAACCGTTCGGTGCATCACTAACTACATTCTATAAGAACACACACACATTGCATCCTCTACAATAACACATAAAACATCCCCTACACACATACACTTCACTTCCTGTGAGAGAACTCATGGGTGGGCCATGTAGCTGGATTTATGGGTGGGCATTGTAGGCATACTCACGGTCAAGCCTCTGGGGCCCAGACCTTGAGCTGTGTAAGGGGCCCTAAAACATGGAGCTGCTTCCTGTCTCATTTATCCTTTTTCTCAACTGAGGTCCTTTTCCTTCATTTTCATCTGTAAATACAGAACAAAAATATTCATTGAGGCAGTCAGCTAGACTTTTATCCTCTTCTACATACCTTCCTTCTTTTGTTTTTAATCTAACTAATCCTTGTTTTACTTTTCTTTTCTCATTTATGTATCTAAAAAATGTTTTGTCCCCCTTTTTTACTGACTGTGCTATTTTCTCTTCTGTGTGTGATTTGGAAGCTCTTATAACTTGCTTAGCCTCTTTCTGCCTAATCTTATAGATCATTTTGTCTTCCTCACTCTGGTTTTTTTTATAATTCCTAAATGCTAACTTTTTGTTTTTAACTATTTTGGCCACATCTGCGGAGTACCACAGTGGTTTCTTGAATTTTTGCTTTTACTGACAAGCCTAATGCAATTTTCTGTTGCCTTCAATAGTGCAACTTTTAAATAATCCCATTTCTCTTGGACTCCATTTAAATTGCTCCAGTCTGATAATGACTCCTCTACACATATTCTAATTTTAGAAAAGTCTGTTTTTCTAAAGTCTAAAACTTTTGTTTTTGTGTGGTGTGACTCAGTCACTGTTCTTATATTATTTTTTTTAATAATTTTTAATTTTTGCAGTGCATAGTATAAGTACATCCGGGTTCGAGGTACCCCAACGGCAATCCTCTAGCGACATTTCAAGCTTTGCAAATGGGGAATAGATTTAACATGCACAATTTTGTATTATAGTAAATAACAAGATGATCCTGAGCAAGTTATCAGAGTATTATAATAATGTAATATTGTCGAAGGAGTGACACTGCGTCTCATGGGACATGTAACTCGCAATGCATATAAGATCAACGTAATATATAATAGACTAGGCACAGTCTTATGTAAAGCTATGGATACAATGCAGACAGTAATCCTGACATGGTGATATCCAGTTAGGTGATGCCTGGGTATAGCAGGCCTGCAGAGCCACACTGTAGCTAGGGATCATTAAAGAAAAGTCATACATGTTATGACAGTGTTGTGGCCCTTCTTAAGCAGATCTGGATAAGACAATTGTAGGAGTGCCACAGGATACGAAAAACATTAAAATAGTCATCATACAAGAAACGTTAGTCTGGTAGTGCAATAATAATCAAAGTAAAGATGTGGATCATGCTTGCAGACCTTTAACTAAACATGTGCTGATCAGGATATGCAATTAAAGACCACTGGCAAATGCTGCATGGCTGCGTTTAGCTAGTTGCATGAAAAGATACGTGCTTTAACTATTAACTTAAGTTGAACAAACAGGTATCAAAGTATAAAAATATGTAGCACATATTTGTTATAGAGGCAAATTACTACAACAAAGACATTTGATAACAAATCAGTTTGATAGCAAACCCGCTTGAAGACAACTTTGCTTGATATGACATTCTATGCTAAGCTATGAGTGGTTGATACCCCTGGGTGTTGTGTGGAGAGACAATGTGTTGCCATTAGTAAGACAGCTGCAGCAGAAATAATCATAAACTCCCTGACTTGAGAGCTAGTTTCAGAGGAGTAGAGTGTGGTCTGTTCCAGGGTGTAACAGGAGTGTGTGTTCAATGCTAGCTAATGAAGCCTAACAGGGCCCCCTGCCTCAACATCCCCACCATTCGCGTTCACCCTATCCCTCGTTTCACCAAAGAGTAGTCGGGTTTTGAGTCCCAGGTGAAAGGCTGTGCTTTTCGGTGGTCTGGAACAGGGTTCTCCATGGCTTGTCAGGTTTGGTGCAGGGCTGTGGTTTGCTTTTAGTCAGTTCCTGTCTCTGTCTTGCAAATAGTTTCGTCGGGCTCTGCTGCTTGGGCGCCGGCCATGTTTGAGCCTTCACCGTGGGTGCATGTTGCTGCGCTTTCCTGGGTATGTGGGTGTCATTATGTAGGTTGCGCCCCCATGAGGAGACTGCTACCTCTAATGCCGTTGCTGATTTTGGAGGGTGTCTCCGAGGTGAGCTTTTACCCTCTGGTAGTTTACCCGGGTGGGTATATGCGCCTCTCTGCACGGCGCGTTTCCCGCCTCGCCATTTTAGAACTTGGCAGGGCCTCGCAACTGCGGCCTTCTGCTGTGTGACCGGGGTTGGTTTGCGTTGCGAGTAGTCACCTGGCAGGCTCCGGACATGCTGGTGCTGCTTACTTCCCAGCTTGCGCCAGAAGTTGTCGAAAATCCTGTCCAGCTTAGCCAGGTAATCAGGGTTGTCCTCCGCCTTGTCGGGAGCCCGATCTGTGTCCGCCATGTTGGCTGTGTTGCTGCAGGTTGTGGTAGCCGCTTTGGCCTTGTCGCTATCTCCCGCTAGGTCTGCGAGGCCTCCCAGGGGTGGACCGGGATAACCCCCACCGGTCCAAGGGGGGGGGGGGTTAATGGGGTTCTCGTGTGCTGTTGCGTACCATCAGACAACTCCAGGCAGGAGGATCGGCCGCCTCCTCTGTCCGGTGTGCCCTAGGCCGCATGGTAGGAGCAGTGCAGCAGATGAGCTCTTTTGTAGATTTTTAAACCCCACAGTGGGTCCCAGGAGGGTCAGGAGTTGTATACTTCTATAAAGTAGTTCCCTCTGAGGCTGAATGTGGGTGAGAACTGTGGTTCAAGCTTGCCTAGGAGAGGAGCTACTGCAAAACACCTCTCTCCTCCATGACAGTCATGCCCCGCCCCCCCACTGTTCTTATATTAAACCACACTGATCACTGGATCCTAAACTTTCACCTACAGTAATATCTGATACCAAATCTCCATTTGTTAACACTAAATCTAGTATGGCCTCTTTACGAGTTGGCTCTTCAACAACTTGTTTTAGAGACAATCCCAGTAGTGAGTTTAGCATATGTGTGCTCCTGTCACAAGTAGCTAATTTTGTTTTCCAATTTACATCAGGAAGATTAAAGTCACCCATGATGATAACTTCCCCCTTCATTGTCATTTTAGCTATTTCCTCAACTAGTAGATTATCTAACTCTTCAATTTGTCCTGGGGGCCTATAAATCACACCTACACGAGTTACTGTGTGATTACCAAATTCTAACGTAACCCAAACGGACTCTATGTTTGTCTCACTAACTTTTATTAGGCTAGATTTTATGCTATCCTTCACATACAGGGCCACCCCTCCCCCTTTCTTGCCTTCCTTATCTTTTCTATATTAAGAATACCCTGGTATAGTAACTCCACAGTATGTCCCCAGATGGTTCTTAAAGGGCTAGCAGCAGCATAATAAAATACAGTATGCCCAAATCAGTTCCTTAAAGGGCAATACATCCCAGGGCCATAGTCGCAGGGCAGGAGGCTGGCAAACAGGCCCCTCCAAAAACCAGTGGCAAGGTCACTTTCACCACACCCATTAGTCCCGGTTCTGGTGGGCATTTGCCCAGTTTGAAAGGTGACAGTGTATTCATTAGCAGCGTGAAGGATAAGTCTGTGTGGTCGGCACTACTGTGGAGTGACAGCCGAGACCCCAATCCTGAGTCCCTTGGTCCCCAGGTGCAGCCTATAACCCCTCTGCCCAAACAATGGTGGTGTCCAGCCATCCCCTGCATGGTATTTGTGTGACTTAAGTGATCTTTGTCAGTCTGCATGAGTACTCACGTAGCTTGGTTCATAGGGGTCAGTGAGCAGATCCCCTCCTTCTCGTGGACATCGTGTGTGTGTGAGGCCATCATGCTTCAGGCCTGGCTGGGCCTGGGCACCTTGCTGGGAAGCGTTGCGGTTGGGGGCTACCTGAGGCCGGGTCCCTTCCGGGTGGTTGCTGGGGACTATATGGCAGTTGGAGGAATGAGCTGGCCAGCCAGTTTGTTACCGGAGCTGGTAGGAGTACCAGGGAGCGCATGAATCCAGGGACATCATCTGGCTTACGCACCATCAGGGTGTCTTGACCTCGGCGTACCTGTAAGGAGAAGGGGCACCCCCAGCAGTATTGAATGCCTGCAGACTATAGAGCGGTCGTGACTGGGCGCAGGGCCCTCCTGGCTTGCATGGTATAGCAGGACAGGTCTTGATAAATAGTAGTGGCTTGGACATCCATGCAAAGTGGGTCCATGCGACGGGCTGTGCGCAGGACATTCTCCTTTTTGTCCATGCAGCATACTATGTCTCTTGGTTGCTGGCCAGGTGCTGGAGTTGGTCTCAGGGCTCGGTGGGCTCTCACTAGGCCCAGATGCGGTAATTGTTGGCTGCCCAGCACCAGGCTGAAAATGGTGCAGAGAAGTTCAGCAATATTTTCTGGTGTGGAGATTCAGCCTGCGGCTGCGGTTGTCTGGGTCGTCCACCCAGGTAGTTAAATGGGCTATGTCCTCTGCATACTGTCTTACCGCTGTCATGTTTTTTTTCTTTATTTTGTCTATGTTGGTATAAGTAAAGAATTACCAGTAGTCATCATCTAATAACACCTAGTAATGTATTTCACTGTAGCAATATACAATCCAGTAAATTTAAATCCCTTGGGGGGCGGAGCCTGGCCTCCGAACAAGCAAGACGTGTGCAAGACTGAAACCCTACAAACGACATTAAACCTGAGCCAACAACTTGCCCGACCGCAGAGCATAACTCAGCCTGTTCCCGACACACCGGTGATGCTGGCGATACCTCCCAGGAGCATCTCTGCCACTGGAAACCCTGACTTAAGGCTCTGCGGCCTAACAGCGACCGGGCAGGGGAGAGGCGGCTGCTCGCCTACTGCTTTGCCTGGCGGTAAGACACTCAAACAGGGTCCCCCGCCCATGGACCAACGGGGGTCATCCCGGTCCCCTTGGCTAGCCCAGTGAACTCACGCTGCGCCCGGAGGACCGACTCCTGCCACATGGAGATTCCGGCTGACACACCAAGGATGTTTCCTGAACAGGGGCATGTGCTGCACGGGCAGGAGCTGATCCTACCGAACTTCATAGACGGCATGCTGCAATGCCTAGACAGGATATTTGAGAGGTTTTGGCAGTGACTGGAGGCAAAAGCGCTACCCTCACAGCCCATGCTGCATGGGAGACTGCGCAATGGCGGGGGCCCCAGAGACCCCAACCTCTTTGTGGGGAAATCATGCCCAAATGCACCTCTTAAGCTTGACACTAACCCACAGGGGCAGAGGGTCACCCTGGCTGCTGCCGCAACGCTCAGACCAAGACGATGGAAACCAGTTACCCGCATCAGGCGTAAGACAACCTGAGCACCCCGCAGCACCCAGTTGGAGATGACAACAGCCTCACCTGTGACTCGGGCCCACAGATCCGAGCGACAGACCCCCTTACGGGTCGGTAAGAGCACAGAAAATGCTCTGACATCTTTACCACGTGCCGAGTCCAGAGACTCTCCCGCGCTACCGAGCAGAGGCATAGGCTACAGCAGCTGTTCCCCACCGCAGTCCAGCAGAGCGCTGCACACTGGTGTTGCTGCGGCTCCATCTACAAGAATCGGATGAGTAGATATGGTCACGGACTGACTTCTCTGCAGCCATAGACTCTAATACCACTCTTTCAGACCGTTTTTGCAGAGAAGGGCCAGCGGTTTCTATGCTACAGTACACTACTTTATAACGTATTAATTTGTCTTATTCTACTAAGCGCCCATGTAAGCAAAACCATGGAGTATAAGCTAAATGTTCATACCTCATACTAAAATTTAAGGCATGTCATGCTTGTTTATGCTACAAATCATAAAATTATGCAGCTCCATAGAATGCCATGACCGCAGTTTTGAAGCAAGCAATGTGTCCATATAGGCAGCAGCATTTGCCCCACTTCCCCCAACCCAAAAACATTCACTGAAATTCTAACCTAGATAATTTAAGGACAAAGTGTGGACTACTTTGTCTTATGTATTTTTCCTATGCTTGGCAAAGCTTGACAAACAGGCATAGCTATTACTGTCAAGCCCCCAGCAACCACTAGTGATGGCTGAGGGTGGAAAAAAAGATCTGTCTAAGGAGGATCTCACAGTCTTCTCCATAGACATCAGCGCTGTATTCTCACGCAGATTAAGCGCCAGGAGCTGAAGTGGATCTTGTGGAAGAAGATGGCGCTGTCAGGGATCTTACCTGAAGTGGGAGTCCGGCACGCAGAGTTGAGGCACCCTTTGCAATTCGACACAGACCGAGGGGACTCAGGACAGAAATCCCCAAGGCTGTGACACAGTGCACTGGGGCTGAAATAACCAGTGCTTCCTGGAACGCAGTACAGACAAAGGATATCCAGAAGAGTAGTCAGTATCAGAATCAGAAGTCAGGACGGGCGGCAATCAGGCGAAAACAGTAGACGAGCAAGAGATCAAAAACAGGAGTCAGAAGAACAGCAGTGAAACCAAACAGGAACAGGAAACACGATCTGACAACGAGAACCAGCCTTGCGGGGTTTAAATAGGGAGTCTCAGCCAATCATCAAGGAACCAGGAACAGGTGTGCACATTCCAGGCGTACAGGCTCAGACTACAGGATACCAAGAACAACCAGAAACAGTCAAAGATGCGTGGAGCTCAATGCAAGGATACCGACTGGGATGCAGGAAACTCAGGTTTGATCCCAGCCAGACCCAAATACACAATATTGTGTAAAGCACAATGGTGATCCTGACATTACCCCCCCTTCAAAGACGCCGTAGGCGAGAAGAGGAACGCAACTACGACCCAGGAGGTTACTTTTTGGATTTCTTGGCTTTGGTGGTACTAGTAGGAGCAGAGGTCATAGCTTGTAGGGCCTTTTCAAATACTTGCAAGTCCTCCTTCCGGACTAGAGTCCCATTAGAGGCATAGGTACAGCCAGAAAGAGGGTCTTCCTTGACAGGACTTGTAGTGGTTGTGGTGCTTGCCTTCTTAGAAGCAGAATCTTTAGTAGAAATAGAGATCTCAGGTTCTTTAGTAACAGATTCCTGCACAACCTCAGGAGCAACGACTGTAGAAGGCTGAGGATTGGACAGAGTTCAAGCAAGGACAGGCAGCATGTTGGCAGACAGGTCTCATAGGATATGCCAGAGTAGTACCCAGACGGAGAACCCGAGACCTAGATGGACGAATGGGACAAAAAGATATTAAATGTCCCATCTCCCCACAATAATAACACAGTCCATGCGCCATCCTTCTTGCCCTTTCTTGAGATGACTGACGGAACCTAACCAGTCCAATCTCCATGGGTTCCTCCGCCTCCCTGCCAGATTTATACGATGTTTCTGGAGACTTGGGAGCGGTAGGGTTAGCTGTAACATCAGTCCGAGTGAAAGGAGTAGTGTAGTCCATTTCCAGTCCGGGTTGCAATATGTGTGAAGCAACAGTAGATGATCTATGTACATATGACTTTTGTGTCTTGTTGCATTGTAAACCCAGGGACCGAATAAAGGACTCCCAGGAATCTAGGACTGGGCTTTTGGCGAGTAACAACTGGTGGGCCCAGATCTTAAGGTGCCCCGACAATAAGGTAATCGCTGTCCTCACTTTAATGACGTCTGTGGCATAGGTAAGTGGTCTCAGGGAGAACAGGACCTCGCAATCAACTTTGAAGGTATCATACTTAGACCGGATCCCAGAAAATTTCTCGGGTAGAGCAACCAGCGGTTCAGAGAGTCCAGAGTCATAGGTTACTCTCCCTTTAAGGGAAGCCAGCTCCTGCTGTAAGCCCTGCAAAGCCTGGGTGAGCTGGGAAACTTGCTGGGTCAAGGCTGCAACGGTAATCTTCAACTCTGCAGACTCCATTTGGTCAGATCGTACTGTCAGGGATCTTACCTGAAGTGGGAGTCCGGCACGCAGAGTTGAGGCACCCTTTGCAATTCGACACAGACCGAGGGGACTCAGGACAGAAATCCCCAAGGCTGTGACACAGTGCACTGGGGCTGAAATAACCAGTGCTTCCTGGAACGCAGTACAGACAAAGGATATCCAGAAGAGTAGTCAGTATCAGAATCAGAAGTCAGGACGGGCGGCAATCAGGCGAAAACAGTAGACGAGCAAGAGATCAAAAACAGGAGTCAGAAGAACAGCAGTGAAACCAAACAGGAACAGGAAACACGATCTGACAACGAGAACCAGCCTTGCGGGGTTTAAATAGGGAGTCTCAGCCAATCATCAAGGAACCAGGAACAGGTGTGCACATTCCAGGCGTTCAGGCTCAGACTACAGGATACCAAGAACAACCAGAAATCGTCAAAGATGCGTGGAGCTCAATGCAAGGATACCGACTGGGATGCAGGAAACTCAGGTTTGATCCCAGCCAGACCCAAATACACAATATTGTGTAAAGCACAATGGTGATCCTGACAGGCGCTGGCCACAAGTGACAGGTTCAGGTACGTAAAAACTGTCGTCTACTGCACCCCTGGGCTACCGCAATGCAAGTGGAGCCGTCACCATCTGCATCATAGTGACCTCTAATAAAGTTTGATGGTTTTATTATGTCAAGCTTTATATTTTCTTAGAATTCTACATACTAGAATCAAATTTGATTCAAACTAAGATTTAGTATGTAAAAGTCCAGAAAGTTTTTTGGTATGCTTTACAAAATAATATGAAAAATCTTTACTGTGATGCATAATGACCGTCCATGAAAGTCTGAGCCTGACTCTCAGACATTGTATAGTCACAGTTGAATATTCTGATAACAGAGAGCTCTTTGTGTGAGGTTATTGTGTTGTGTGTGCTACTCAGTGACAACGAAATCTAGAAAATTTCATTTACTCCAGTTCTCTGGAATTGATTAAAGGAAAGGATCTCAGGATCTGTCATTAATGTTATTATAATGAGGAAACAGGCTAATATATGTTGAAGAAAAGATAATTTTCTTTGTGCTCCCAGCAATATGTTCAGGTGATCTTACCAGCTCATTTGTCCTGGCCTAGAAAATCCTAAACAAACCTGAAGGACATTGAAAGGTTGTTTTTTTTCCTCCAAGACAGGCACAAGTATCCTTATTGCCAAGTTTACACCAGAACTACACATCCCAGAATGCAGTTAAGGACATGACAAAGTACAGAGCCAGCCTCACCTGTTCAGCCAGGTGAGAGGCAGAAATAGAAAGGGGTGTGACATACGGACAGGTAATATCACAAGACTTCAAACAAGAGAGCTTCTAACGTGGAGGAAGGTGGGAAATTTTGATATGAGGAGATCTTGTTTTAATACGCTGAGATGAATTGCACAACCTGAATGAAAAGGTAATCTGTTTTTTTTACATTATGCAATATATCATGGCTGAATACATTTTGTTATAGAATACCAAAGTAAACAATGTACACATGTGCTTACATGTATGTATGTATATATATATATATATATATATATATATATACAAACAGAGACGCATACATACAGGCAATGAAGATATATCATGGTGGATATCACATTTTTATGATACAAGAATATGTCAATTTGAAAGACAAATCTTTTTTTTGTCTTCTATTTCAATTCTAAATTCAAGAATGAACTGAAAAATTAATACAAGAGAATACTGTTTAATTACTTTTTCTATAAAAATTTAAACAGGGATCAAGTGTAAGAAAATATTAAGACCATATCAATCTATAAATTATTCATGTGTAATGATAGAATAAAGATCAGTCTGTAAAGATTTGTTGGTGTTGCAGAGTTAAAATAATTTACTCTATGAATAATTTGGGGCCAGTGGTAAGCCTGAGGCTTGGCACACAACATAGATATTTATAGGTATAATGTGTAATTCTCATTGTTCTTTGTAAGGCTGTTGCTTTAAACGTTTGTAGGGTTTGGCAGTGAAGGTGTTAATGGAAGCAATAAGGAAACTGAACAGCTAGAGATATTGAACTCTTATCTCTGAATGGTCTAGAAGAGAAAAATGGATACTACACAACACATATTGTTAAGCATGTCCCCATCATTGGGCTCAATTACACGCTTGTCATTAAAAAGCATCTGCTGCAATTGTAAATACAAACAGACAGTAGAAATTGGCAGCTAAAAAACATACTACCATATTTCCATGGTCAGCACTTGTATTGTCATCACGTTTCCTTTGATACAGACCATCACCTAACAATCACTATATAGTGAACTGAATGTACATCAAGAAAGGGCACATTTTTCAATTAACTTCCATAAGAACCTCACCAGCAAACTGTAGCACAAGCATGTCTAACTCAAAGGCTAACACGGGTCAAATAAACAAGGTTTAGGTTTATGTGGGCCGCAAAAAAAACACAATTTTTCATAGCATTTCGAAAAGTACGGTATAAAACAAAGTCGTCTAACTGACGCTGGATGTCCTCATGCTCATAGGGCTTCAAAGTAAACAAAAGAGCAAATTTATTTTAAGGAGATGTACATTTGCATATAAACTATTTTGACATATTAAGAAAAGTTTGGTAATGTGACTGAAATGGGGAATGTATGGTGTTGCACAGCTGTAAAAAAAACAAATTTCATTATCTTGTTGATTTTTAAGTTGATTTTTTTATGAGTGTGTTCTTCACTTTATCTGAGATCATCAAACTTTATGATCTCAGCCAATCCAATGCTTTTCCATACACTGCCCCCCCCTCCCTCCACTCTTATACACTGCCCCATTCCCCAACTCTAATACACTGCCCCCCTAAACTAATACACAGCCTCCCGTGACTCCACCCCCACTAAGACACTGCCCTCCTCCCTCCACTCTAACTGAATACACTACCCCCCCCACCACTCTAACTGAATACACTGCCCCCCTCCCACCACTCTAATCTACCACACTGCCCTCCATAATTTATCACACCCAGGGAAGGCAGGCCACAAAGATAGTCATTGTGGACCACATGCATGGACCGCAAGTTTGACATGCTTGCTGTAGCAGGTTCACTGAGTTCCCTTAATGTTTGCACACACACACCAAATTTCACAATTATTTATCTGACATGACATATATTGTACAGCATTAGTGCTTAAAGAGTTTTTTTACTTCCATCTTTATCTTGTTGAAGATATTGACTTCTCCAGCAGGAGAAGACCAAATGTGGGTGGTGTGGGTGACTTTGGTTGTCAAACAATTTGAAAAATTACTCTGGGGTAGTGTCAGGGCACTGAATGTTCATTTAAGCATAATCAGTTTATCTGTACTGATATATACATCAAGTAGAAAGGGTTGACACAGGGTATTTGTCCTCAAGACCACTAGCACACAGAGGTTGTTGGCCTCACAGCACAAATCAAATGCTCTCAAGGTCTGCACTGACCACTAGTACAATTAGATTTTAAAGTCTCTTAGAACCAATAGCTAAATGCCAAAAAAACTTTATGGTGAGACCAAACATGATAAAACTCCCCACAGTGCAAAAAAAAAAAAAAATACTGTTATGCATCACCTGCATATCCAACTTGAGATATCCAGGTCATGCATAGCAGTAATTACTCTATTTGCACTATGTATAGTTTTACTATGAGGGCAGTGAGGAGCCCATGTATCTGTATGCATCTGCATCCTACCCTGTGCAGAGTGCCATAGCTCCTCAAGAACTTGCAGCTCCTCCATCTTGGTAAACCAAAGCGACATTGGTGGGACTGAGTCCCGTTTCCAATACAAGGGCATTGATTGTTTAGGATATGGATTGTAAGGGAGCGTTTATAGCGGGAAGAGAGAGAGGTAGTATGCTGAATACACACCCATGTAGAGGAGTCCAGGGTGCTCTGCTACTGCAAATATATAATCCCAGTCAACCTTGTCAAAAGCAAGAGAATGCTTCCCGAGGAGTGCTGCACCTGAAAAACCAATGACAGGGCTTGTATGGTGTTGTCCCTTACTTCCTGTGTTGGAAGAACCCCACCTGGTCTGGGGAAACCAGCCAGAGCAGAAGTGACCCTAACCTGGTGACCAGAATTTTCGAAAACAAAAGGCAATACCTCATTCATTGCGCAACATGCTTTTTTGGTAAAATTATGACCTTTGCAGCCTGGGTTTATATGGGGATGGGGTGACCTTCCATAATGGAATTGAAAGGCACTATAAAGCATTGGGTATAAAGTGGGTGCAAAGTGCTTATAATATTTGAGGGGCTCTAAATCGAGAAGGCGAGTTCTTCCTCCATCAGAGGTGCCTCCAAGACTTCCATGGAGTCCGCTAGTACTTTGTGTGCACATATTTAGAGAGGTAGGAGCGGCTGCGTGTAGCGTGAGTATGAATCATCACTGGTGATGAGTGTGAGAGTAGGGCATATAAGCTTGAATAGTATTGTTTATCTGCTGTGGCGACCCAAAGGTGACACATTTGTGCTATGTAAGTTGTGGAGCACTTTTTATTCATCTTTCTTGCTAGTAGTTTACTGCTTTTATCGCTTTCTGCATAGAAGAATGAGTCGGTGCACTGAAGTTCCCTGGCATAGAAGAGAGTTGTCTTGTGGTTGTTTGTTTGTGCACCTGAGCTAACTCCCCTATCTTTTCGGCCAGATCACTTATGGAACTCTTCCTGTTTTTTCTTAAAGGCTGTTCTTTGAGAAATAAGGGCTCCCCTTATAATGCTTTTGTGGGCTTCCCACATGGGGAGATGGGATGTGTTTTGTGGCAGGTTCTCAGTGTAGTAGTGTGTGAGTGTTGACTTTCCTGTGAAGTATAGAAAAGTGCCCTGTGGAGCCACCACATAGTGGCTCTAGGTCTATGTAACGGGGAAGCTAGCTGTAGGGTGAAAGGTGCGTGGTCCGATCAAGTAACCACTCCAATTGAAAGTTTTTGTAATATGGGCAGATAATTGTACTGCAACCGTGACTTTATTTTGTGTGCTCAGTTATTTTGTAAAATGTTGAACAGGATGAAAGCTATTGTGTTAATTATTATATAATGTAACAGGTATTGTGCAATGCGTCTTGGTATCCAGCATGCAAATAAATTATAATTTCTTGACCTAATTATGCCCATGACACCAGAGAGTGGTTGGCATTGTTCTAGCTAAAGACCCCTGATGTGTGTAGGGGTGTAAATATACATGTTTCCCTGCAATAAACAGTTCTCTTGTTTTACCCAGTAAGACTGGTCTTGTCCACTATATTGGGGAATTTCAGGTTTCCGAGTGCTGTAATCACTATTCCTGTAGCTTTAATCACTGTATGCTGTAGCTGAATCCTGGGCCAATTGATGAAAGAAGAAGTGGCGACAATAGGACACTAAGAGGCTTTGCTACCTGTGATAGGCAGAAAAAAATAATCAATGTGTGTGTAGCAAGAATTTAAGGGTGGAGTAAAATGTGAACTCCTTGTCCACTGGGTGAATGTACGACACACATACATACAGACATACATACAGACACACACACACACACATTCACATACATTATATACACATTCACATACATATATTGTCGCGTGTAATATGTAAGGCTATGTCTTGCCAGGACAGATGATTGAGATATATATATATATATATATATATATATATATCTTTTTCTAATATAAAATATTGGTCCTTTCAGGGTAAAACGTTTAATTATACAGTAAGCATACGCACATGCAGACACAGGCAATTTCACTGACATTTCAGTGACATACACAAGCTCATTGATACACAGCCTCATAGACAAACAATCTTACTGATATACATCAGCTCATTGACATAAAAACACAAGCTCACTCACTAGCAGGCACACGCATGCAAGCAAACTCACTCACTAGCAGACGCACACACACAGCTTAATGTGGTGGTACTGGTGTCTATAGCATGTCCCTACAGGCTTTTCAGACAAAAGGCAGTGTTTACATTGCTTCAAAGTGACACTGCTAGTGACAGTCACTCAGACGGTCACTAGAGGTGCTTCCTGTGTTAGTGCCCTCCCGCCCTCGCGCGCTGCTGAATGAGACTGGCGCCGGAATATGGCGTCATATTCCGGCGCCGGTCTCATTCAGCTGCGTGCTGGGGAGCAGAGCCAGCGCAGCTCGCGCAGCTCCCTCAGCGGCCGCCAGGACAAGTCCGCCAGCGGCCGCCAAAAGACCTCCCCAGCGGCCAGGGGAGGGCTGGCAGCCTTAGGCCTGGGGGGCAAAACCAGTCAAGTAGACTGGTGCACCTGCCCAGGATCAGAGCCGGTGCAAGGATTTTTGCCGCCCTAGACAAAATAAAAATTTGCTGCCCCCACATGTCACATCACAATGCCCCACCCATATGATCTGCCATATGAACTAACGCCAGTGCTGCACACAGTGTGTGTTTACATTAAAAAGCCTGCAGGGACCAGCTATAGACACCAGAACCACTTCATTAAGCTATAGTGTCCCTTTAATGTGAGGTAAATTATAGATTAGTGTCACTAATAATATACTAGATTGCCTACTTACAAGCAGATGAGGTGATGATGGGCTGCAGTTTGGCTCCACTGGTCTGGTGTAGAACAGGATCTCTGGAGGCTGTTTGCAGCTGTGGTCACAAAATTCAATGTTCTGGGAGAATTGGAAGCAGCTCCATTTTTTGGGGCCCCTTACACAGCTCAAGGTCTGGGCCCCAGGGCCTGACGGTGAGTATGCCCATAAGGCCCACTCATAAGTTCCACCCACCCATGAGTTCGCTCACAGGGAGTGGAGTGTGTAGGGGATGTGTTATGTGTTATTGTAGAGGATCTAATATGTGTGCTTATGGTATGTAGTGTATAGGGTTACCAGTTTGTGCAGGTGATGCAGTGTGTTTGTGTGTAGTGGAAGCAGTGTGTATTTGTGTATAAGGGATGTATTATGTGTTTCTGGTTGTGTGTAAGGGATGCTTTGTGTGAATCTGTGTTTGTATGCATAAGGGATGCAAGGTGTGTGTCTGTATGTGTGTGCATGAGATGCATTGTGTTTCTGTGTGTATGTAAGAAAAGAAGTGTGTGTTTGCATGCGTGTGTACGGGTTTGCATTGTCTGTTTCTGTGTATGTGTGCAAAGGATGCATTGTCTTTGTGTGTAAGGGTTGCATTGTGTGTGTGTGTGTAATTGATGCATTGTGTGTTTCTCTGTGTGTAAGGGAAGCATGTTGTTTCTGTGTGTGTATAGGGATGCATTGTGTGTGTATAGCGTGGTGAAAAGGCTCCCTGTCTTGGCCCCTGTCCTGCTCAGGCTGCCCTTCTTATTCCCCTCCCTCCCTCTTGTGAACCCTCCCCCCTCTTATCACTAAATACAATTCCACTCCCTCCTCATCTTTTATTCCCCTCCCTTCCCTCATCTTATTCCCCCTCCCTCTTCTTATTCCCTCCCCTCCCTCTTCTTATTCCCCAGCTCCCCTCTTCTTGTTCCCCAACTCCCTCATCTTATTCCCCCTCCCCTCTTTTTGTTCCCCCCTCAATCTTGTTCCCCCTCCCTCTTTTTATCCCCCCCTCTTTTTATTCCCCCCCCTCCCCTCTTTTTATTCCCCCCCCTCATCTTGTTCCCTCCTCCCTCTTCTTATTCCCCCCCCTCATCTTTATTCCCTCCACTCCCCTCTTCTTATTTCCCCCCCTCATCTTATTCCCCTCCCTCCCTCTTCTTGTTCCCCCCCCTCTTTTTATTCCCCCCTCCTCCCTCTCTTCTGCCCCCCCTCTTCTTCCCCCCCTATTCTTACCCCCCTCCCTGCTTAGGCGTGGCCGGGCTGCACTCCGGTCAGCGGTGGCCGACCCGGAGTGATGGAAGATTTTGAGTGTACACTTCCTGTAATCAGTCCGGCGGTGACAAGAAAACAAACTCCCGCAGCGGACGGAACACCGTTTCCTGTCACCGGCAGACTGACAGGTACCTCAGTCTGCTCTCCTCCCGACGGCACCGGCTTCCGGACGGTGCAGCTAAAATCTGAGGGAAGAGAGGAGGGCTGCAGCCGCCTGAGGCTCTTAACAGAGCGCTCAGGCGGCTGCAGTATTTAAAGGGCCGGCCCCAGGTGCCGACGGCCCACCGGGAAATTTCCCGGTATCCCGGTGGGCCAGTCCGGCCCTGCATGCGTACATACATAGTGACATACTGTCATGATTCCCCCTACCATTCTATGTCTGATTGGTGTTTACCTGTATGACTTCCTGGTTCTCGCCGATCCAACTCCGCCCATGCGTCTGATGTTGCGCGCTTCCATGGTAAAAGGAAGCCGTGGCCACTACCAGATCGCTAAATCAGTTTGTTGCCTAATTGTTGCCACTTGCCAATGAAGCTCCTTCTCTTGTAACTTTGTGTACCGAACCTCTGATACCTGATTTTGCCTTCGCTGACTTCTAATATCCCAGACTCGGAACGGACTTCACTACGATAACCTTTATCCTCAAATTACTCTAGTGAACCTCAATCCTCACTACTCTGGAAAGGACTTCAATTTACAACCTCTACAACAAGCAAGCTAAGTTCTCCAGTTTACTGGGATTATTAATTGGTGCACACCTTCAGTTAATTGGATGGATAAAAGGGAACTCTTATGTCTGCCCTCTGGGATCCTATATTACTTCTAATATAAATTGCTCTATTCAAAGTAAACCATCTCAACTGATTAATCTCTATTAAGTTTATTTCATATATTGTTTCTGAGTTTAAAGAACTGTATAATACTTCCAAATCAGGATCTACTTAATTTCATCATTGCTACGGATTTCTAAAGAACTGTGATATATTCTCCTAAGCAAGAATTGCCTTATTTTCTTTATTATTGTGGCGGAACCAGCCTCACCACTGGGCTTTGGAGAAGACTGATTGCCAGCCTCCTGCCATGTGACTATGGCCCCTGGGATGTATTGCCTGCTCTCCTGTACTGCTGAGGATTGCTACCAACTAGGTGGATTTGGCTATGGAGCTTGTGTAGTGCCCTCTGTTGTCAGCAACAGAGGTAGCAAGACTGGTAATTTGCATATTCGGGTAGATTTGCATATTGCTAATTCTGCATCCAGGAGAGACATTTTGTGTTAATTATGGTCTTCCCCACCCATTTATAAATATGTAATTATGTTATAATAAGTCACTGTATGTTGCCTGCTATGATTTGACTGTTTGTAATTTTATTGAGTTTTCACAGCAAAGTTAATGTAATGACCATATGGGCTAGTCCCAAGTAAAATAAAGTTTTAGACAGTTCTTCTTCACTCGCAATCTAGAGTCCTGTCTCTCTCTTATTGGGGGTATTGCTATATCACTACAAGGGATTGCTATGCTCTGCATGCTCCCTTGGATAACGACTCCTAGGCAATGTTGCAATCCTAATCAAGGAATACCATTATTTTATGGAATATTACTTTCAATTCATATTGCTACTGAAGATTGTCAAATTGAAAATACCTAAATTCAATAAATCAAACATTCTTAAAGTGACAGTATTAAACTTATTCTTACATCTGCAGTTGAGTTCCAAATGAAGTTTTTCTAAGTACTACACATACATACAGACACACAAACATGCAGCAAAATTTTCAGCCACCCTCCTGTTTCTTAACTTTTTGGTGCAGGAGGGTGGCTGGGGCTGATGGGAGTCGGTTGGCTCCCACATGGAGTAAGCTGACCGGCCGTCACTTCCTCCCAGCACTACTTGTGGCTGCTATTTTTAAAGGGTATGGTCCACCTGATGGGCCCTATCAGCGTGCGGGCCCGGTGCAACTGCATCGGCGGTAGTCCCGCTGCTGATGGCGGCCCTGGGTGGTGTCCATGAGTGTTCTAAGTCAAGCTGGTGTGACACCTACTTGGGTTCCCCGAGGATCTTAAAATGCTCATGCATCTCAACCCATCCCACACTCCCCCTTCCGAACAGAAAAGAAACCGTCAACCCACTAAGCCCAGGTTAGATCTTATCACGGTGAACAAACGTTTTGAAAAGAAGTGGTAGTGCCACTAGTGGTAGCTATGAGATTGACCATCAGACTTGGGTAATGGTAACTTGCAAGTTACCATTAGCCATGAGAGAAACTTTTAGTCCCTGCTCTCAAAGCATCCAGGGGGAACTTAGCTATAAATTAGTTTTTTATCAACAGAGTACCACTCACCCATCTTGACAGCTGATAGATCCATGAAGTATACTAGTTTATGCAGGATACCACTTAAGTTGTTTTCTATGTATTCTCCGAATGATGTGGCCTTAGAGCATCCCCATCACATATAAAAACCTTGCATCTGCCCTCACAGTTCCTCTGGAAAATATCTGTGCCAAGCACTCTATGTAAATCGGTCTTACCAGGGTAATTTACCACTCCATAATCATCTTGTAGCTCTGCTCCTACACAGTTACACACATTAAGGCTTTTGCATCCAACACCCACATTTCTTTTCATTTGTCTAGATCCATGGTTTCCCTAACATCTTTCCCACAGGTAGACACATGCAAGAAAGATACGTTCCATGACACCAAGGAGCATAAATGTTGATATAATATGGAGATAAACCTATTTTCATACCCTCCTCATAAACAAAGAGAGTTGTACTAAGATAGAGACCTAAAGGCCAGTGTTGCAACGTCAGTCCAACAGCAAACCTCTGTACCAGGAGATATCTAAAATTGTCTATGGGGGATCAAAGGTATATGCACCTCAAGAGAGCAGAAGGAGACTACTTGCCCTTTAAGATCCTGGTATCTCTGAATGTAGCTTCCTCAATCCCACGAAACACGGGTCTACCAGGACAGGAGGAAAGTGCCTATTATACAGCACTTTAGACATGAGAGAGAGGAGGGAGGTAAGAAGAGTGGCTATTAAATCCCAAACTCAGATAGTATAAAGAAGTCTCAGTGCTTTATACAGCCATATTACAATGAATGAAGTTTAACCAACACTATGGGCAGAATGTTTTATTAGGTTTACTTGTTAATACCAGTTAGTATTTTCTAACACATCTCCTCCCGCTTATCTAGGTATTCAGGAAAGCATGTGATTCCTGGATTGAAGGTTTGAAATATACCATATAGTTCAATTATATCTGGGACTCTCTGACACCAGACAAATGCAAAACACGGCCATGTCCAATCCTGTAGAAGACGATCCTTTTGATTTCCTTTTTAAAATCATTTTGATTGGGGACTCAAATGTAGGTAAAACATGTGTTGTGCAACGCTTTCAATCAGGTGTCTTCTCGGACAAACATCAAAACACCATTGGAGTGGATTTCAGTGTACGATCCCTGAATATTGATGGAAAAAAAGTCAAGGTAATGTATTTCCATATTGTGGTTTCCTGTTATGTTATGTTATATGGAATGTCATGGGTGTTAGGTTCATTCTTCTATCTATGTGTGGGAATAAAGGTCATCAGCATGTTAAAAATAATGCACGTTGGAAAATTATCTTTCTTCTTGAAGGCTATAGGTAAATCTTCTATTGTTTGACCATGCTAATTATTTACAAAGTTACACCGACTACTCTTTAAAATGTGGCTGTAAGTTATATTTCTTCTAAGACTGAACAACAAACAGCAATAGAGTTTGTACAAATTAAAACATTGTCACTTCTGAGTTTTTCATGAAGATAAAATCTTTATTAAAAATAAATACTGAGATGGAATTTCATTGAAATTCCAACACAATAATAAGATAAAATGTGACAGTGAGCAGAGACTCAAGCAGCTTCTATCTCCTTATTTTACCATTTCCTATTAGCATTCTTGAGTGCAGGCTGAACAAGTATCATGTCGTGGGATGCACAGTAGATGCCACTTCATTGTGGATGCACAAGAACATCTATGAAATGAACTGTGACTTCCTTTAGGTATACAACAGTATACCTCCGCCAATTGATGCTCCTAGTGCTCACCAAGTACTCCAAGCACTTTACCAGACACCATCAGCACTGCAGTCCCCACTTCCAGCGTACAGCTTGATTTGGGTCTCGCTGTCCTCCACCCACCCTGGGCTCAAGATCAGAATCCAGCTTCCAGTGGGTAGACTCTCCTACAAAAGAGTGTAGCAATGTGCTCTTAAAAGAGCAAGTGATTATAACCCAGGGGAGTATCATGATATAGCAATCCCCAGAGCAGATACAGCTGTTTTCCTCACACTAGATGAGACTCTATGTGGAGGGTAGGCATGAACTCAGTTAATGGTAGCCACAACTGGCCTTATATGCAAGGTGTACTCTGCCTGGGAGATAATTGAGTCAAGTACTGTATTAACTTAATTATCTCCAGACACAAAAACACACATATTTGTAAAACCCCCAAAATACCTTAAAACAGCCAAAACCCCCTCAAAAGTTACATCCCCTGATAGCCCTGATCTGGGTGGCCAACATATCCAAAAATCTTACCCTGGAGCTTGTTCCCCTCAGCCAGACAAATTATTTCACTGAACAGTGCCCTTTTAAATTGTATAGAACCGAAAGCAGGCGATGATGGAAGTCCAGCGGTGTTCGGGAGTTTCTGTGTCCGATTTTAGTTCCATGAGATTCATGTCCAAACACCGCTGCCTGCGTTCATGCGAACAAGATGGCTGCCACCTCGTCGTTGTCCATAGGAATTGCGGCCACCCAGACAAACAATTAGAACACTGCGGTGAGAACTGTTCCAAGGTGTTAATAGGTGTTAACAAGCTCTCGGGTGGTCCCTGGTTCGTGCGTCTGTTCGGTTCCCGAACAGGATAGCAAAAGGGTACGAACAAGGTCTTTTATGAGCTTTTTTGCATGGCCCATAGTCCTGAGGCAGGAGGCTGGCAAACAGGCCACTCCAAGAACCAGTGGCAAGTTTACTTTGCCATACTCTGTCTGATAATTAGGAAAACCAGAATTATCAGATGAGCTCTATCATAGTAGCTAGTAGGACCCTAATGACGCAATTTGACATAACTGACTGAAGGACTTCTTGGTTTAGAAGGCTATCTTTGAAATTCACACCAGATTGACCATAAACCCATACCAAGAATTCTGATATCTTCCACTTGCTTTCTATAGGTCCAAGTGTGGGACACAGCTGGTCAAGAGAGATTCCGTACAATCACTCAGAGCTACTATCGTAGTGCTCATGGAGCCATAATCGCCTATGACATAACTCGTCGGCAGACATTTGAATCTGTACCACACTGGATCCATGAAGTGGAAAAATATGGAGCAGCTAACTTAATGGTGATGTTGATTGGTAGGTTTAAATTGGCCCTTTGTACCAAGAAAATTTGAAATATATGTAACAATCTTACTATATCTTTTCGGTAAACTGAATTTACCAGTTTGCATAACAAATGATTACTTATAAGATTCTATTAAACACATGTATTCCTAATGCTATAGCCCTTGTCCAGTTGTACGGTGTATGAAACATGTAAACTTATTGCTCTTCTGGATTGCAAGTCTCTGTATGTTGCTTTATGCCATCTATTTATGTTTTTATACCCACACATGGGATTTAAATGGAAAATTATTAGTATTATTATCTTGACCAATGTCACAGTTAATCTTTTTAAGCTGGCAATTTTTGTGTTAAATCTGTTTTTACTGAGATCAATTTAGGGAACAGTTTTCCTATGCAGGGGAAGTCAAGTAATGCATATTTAGCGAACAGTATAAGAAGCAGTATTGATATAGCAATGGCACATTGACATTTGCCTGTGCAGAGGCATGTTATGTTAGCATAAAGCCATCCTGCAATGCGTGTAAAGTTTCCAAATGTTGACAATTTGGAGTTTACGGGGCCGAACAGTCCCCATGGGTGTCCGCCTCGGCTGAAACCACCACTGTCAGCGCGAGATTACATTACTGTCCTCATTCAGCACTCTGCGGAGTAGGCTCACACGTGGAGGTAGGCCACAGGCATCGGTTTCATGCACGAATAGGAAAACGACCATATCCTGGTTCTGCTTCAACCATGTAATCTTGCCAGTGGGTCTAGAAATGGTTGCTTCATGTTATTTATGTTCTGTTTGGAGCCTGGAGCCGGAGCTGTATGTGATAGCGTCTGGTCAGCTCGACGGCCGGCCCCCTAAACTGGCATTTTTTGGAGTGCAAGGACCGGTGCGGTTCTTGCACTCCAAAAATTGCCAGTTGAAAAAGATTTATAATGAACAAGGGACAGGGCTGGACCACAGTTAAAGGTATGAAAAAAAGGGCTGCAAGAGCACTACATTATCCATATTGATGTTTTCTTTTTGTGAGAAGAAATCAGAGAACATATATATTTACATATATTATAATGAGGTTATTTTTCTTTTTTTTTCTTTCTATTTGTATATGAAGATTTGTTTTGGTTTCCCCTCCTCTTACTTTTTCTATTTTATCCGGAACTATGTTCTTATACATTGCAATAGATTTGGATAGATTCAATTTATAATTTGATACCTTACTATATTGTTCAATTTCTGCTATCACATGTGGCAAAGAATTTTCTGGGTCAGCAATATATAGGAGGGTATCATCTGTATATAATGAGATCTTCAGATCTCCTTTAGAAATAGGAAGACCCTTTATTAACGTGTTTTGTCTGATTTTCGAAGCAAATATTTCCAACGTAATGACATACAAAATTGGTGACAAAGGACAGCCTTGTCTCGTACCGTTTTCCAAACCAAACCAATTTGAACATATATTTTGACCTATAGACCTTGCTGCAGGTTTCTCGTACAAGGTGCCTATTGCATCCAGCACCCATCCCGAGATATTAAAGGCCCTCAAAGCCTTAAACATGAATCCCCAGTTGACCCTGTCAAACGCTTTCTCTGCATCTAATGACAGGATCAGCAGGGGACTCCCTTTCTTATCTGATAAAGCGATTGAATCTATTAACCTTCATATATTGTTTCCTGCATTTCTCCCAGGAACAAATCCAACCTGATCTGGATTAATAATTTCAGGCAAGACTGTTTTTAATCTCTTTGCAATAATTGAAGCAAAAATCTTGACATCCACATTTATTAAAGAGATCGGTCTATAACTTTTTACATTTGTTGATATTTTGCCTGGTTTCATAATTGGTCAAATATTGGCCGCAACATCTCTTGTGGAAATGAGCCTCTTTTTACAGCATCATTGAAGGTTCTAGTTAATGGTTCTGCGATTATATTTTTCATTACCTTGAAGTACTTATTACCGAAGCCATCTGGTCCAGGAGTTTTAAAATTGGCCAGTTTGTTTATTACTTCTATTACTTCTTCTTTAGTGATGTCCTTATTTAATAATTCTAATTGGACTGGGGATATTTTTGGTAGCTCAAGATCCTTTATATATTTATCTATTAATTCGTCCATAGCTCCATTAGGCAAATTATATAGGGACTTATAGAATTGATTAAAGGTCTCCCTTATTTCATCCGGAGCGCTATAAGTTTTACCTTCATGTATAATTTTATCTATACGATTATCTGCTAGTTTTTTTTTCAGTTGGTTTGATAAGATTTTGTCTGCTTTATTTTGTCAATAATAATATTTAATTTTGAATTTAGTTATTTTCTTTTCTATGTTTTCTGATATTTTTTTCTTAATGATCTGCTGTTAATATTGGTTAAGTATACATTCACTAATGTGTACAGTTCCCCATTAATTTCACAAATCAGTATTATGAACCTACCCTCTGTATCAATGTCCTGGTGCTTTATTTCTACTTGTAGCAGTTTCGAAAAACAAATAGCCACTCCAGCTTTCTTTTCATCTTTCTTTGAGGAGATCAATAATAATGGAACATTTTTGCCAAACCATCTAGTACTATCCTCTAAGGTCCAGTGAGTCTCTTGTATCAGGATCACTTGAATTTTTTCTGTTACTAAATAATCGTTAAAGACCCATCTTTTGTGTGGAAGATTTAGACCTTGGATGTTAACTGATGCAAATTTAACCATACCCGTTTCTTAGATCTCTAATAAACTTGACAATTCCCCTGACTATCCTCACGATTTATACTTGCCAGCACCGCTGTACCATTCATTCTCATCCTCCATTTATACACATTCATACTGTCTTCTTTGAATTGGTCTCTAATGCTAAGAGACCTCCTCTCATACACGATTTGATGCCTTATCAAGGCAATCATTAAGTTCTACTTAGAACTTATGGGCGGGGTACATTGATCAATGTGGCGGCTAGGTAAGGAAGCAACTAACATATACAAATTCTATTTCCGTGCTTATCCTTTTCATATTTTGCTGTGAGATTCTTACCTGTTTAATTATTACTTACTTTCTCCAATAACCCATTCCTTACGTTACAATATACTATTCACAAGATTTTACTTATTTGCCTTTATAGAGAGGGAGAATACAAAAAAAATTATGTGAATATGTCTTAAGTGCTTGAGTGCTTGAATTTATTCCAATTTAATATACTTGACTAAATTTACACTTAAATTGGTGAATTACTTCCCCTTGTTGATTGAATATATATTTGGTGTAACCCTAAAGATCCCCACCCTTATTTCATATTTAACTCTTACAAATTATTTATTTTGTGGATATGTCTACTATGTTTATGTGGTGTAATTCAAATTCCAATTACCTCTATATACTTAAACTATTCTCATCTTTTAATCGTATTGAGTTTCTTACTTAGGTTCTCAGTGTTTCCTATTCTTTTTTACTTATTTCTCTTCTAATATAACTTAATTTACTATCCCATTTTACTATGGAATTCCTCTTTGTGTAAATTCAAATATCATAAATCTTCTTCCTGTTTTTATAAAAGTGCTATAGATTATTTCTACTTAATTCATTCCTAATAACCCAACCCCCACAAAAAAGCTCCATCTGTAAAGCGAAATTCTCAATTTTCCAGGTCTTTTTCTATTGCATCAGCTTTTTCTCTTTTAGCCAAATTATGGCTTTATCTACTGAGTCAAAGACCTCAAGATGATAATCTGTGAAGATTCTTATTGTAGTGGGGAATCCCCATGTATATTTTATCTTATGGGTTCTTAATATAGCTGTAACAGGTGCAGATGTTTCCTTTGCATACTGGTAAAAAAAGACAGATCTGGGAATAGAATTATGTCCCTAAATTCTTCTCCTTGTGGCTTCATGGCTCTACTTGCTTTTAGAGTTTCCTCTTTGAATTGGAATGATTGAAAACAGCAGATTATATCTCTTGCTTTGGTGTCTGGTATGTTTGTAGGTCTGTACACTCTGTGTTATTGTTCTAAGCAGTAATTCAATTTCTCTATTTCTATCCTCCAGGCTTTCCATAGATTTAATAAACATTCTGGAATCTTATCCTGGGTTATCTTTTCTGGAATGTTCCTTAACCGCAGATTATCGCATCTCGAAGCGATCCTCCAAATCTTTTGTTTCCAATTCCTTAATTTTTTTCAATAATTGGGTATTTTGGTCTTTCGTAAATTTCTCTTGAAATTCTAAACAATTGATTTTTTCTTCAGCCATGTTTATTTTCTCAGTTAGGAGTTTAATTTGATTTAAGATCTCCTCTGAATTCTGATTAATTTGTTTAATTAGTGTTTCCGACTGAGTATTTAGACAACTCTCTAAAAGTTCTGCGGTAATTTGATTACTCTGATTTTCAAAACTATTTAGTGTCTGTTCTAGTCTCGATGTCATTAATAAATCCTTGTTGCGGAACGCTGGTCTCTCACAGACTATTTCCGCTGGTAGTCCAGGTGTGGCTCAGGAACCAGTAGTAAATCCCATAGAGTAGCAGGCACAATCAATAAGACAATCCAATAATCCCATCACCTTTCCCAATAACTGGATGACACACAGTATCAGGAGTAGAACTTAACTAACTTTTAATCACACAACCCCTGCTTTTATGCAATGCTCCCGTGCAAGGGAGCCACCCACAATAATTAGTACATTAACCAATAAAGTACAAGGTACAACCCACACATCTCCTCCCATCAGCTTATCTGTTACCAGAATTGAAATGTACATATTTTTCCTTGAGTTCTAGATGTACCCCAAATACATAGGGAACAACCCCTAAATATGGTATCCCCTGATAGCCCTGATCTGGATGAATAACATATTCAAAAATCACCCAGATCGGACCAGGGGTTTAGGGGTTTTGGGCAAGTAAAGTTTTGACTGTCCGCACAGGCAACATTATCCGAAAATAGTTCCATAAGTTTTGGCCTTGCGGTCGGTCTCCGTTCGTGGAATAAAATTCCCAAAAGGCTTGCCATCAATGGCTATGCTGGCATTCGTGTGAATCCTCATGTTAGTAGGAGTCTTTCTGCCGAACGGCAGCTTGTTCGGTAGTTCCAGCCCAAAGATATGGAAGTCTGGAGGTCTCAGCGGTGTTTGCTTAGTAGAGTGTCCGATTTTAGTTCCAGACACTCGACGGCAAAACACTGCTGTTCGGGAGATTAAGATGGCGCCGCCACGTGTTAAACTCCTGAAATGGCGGCCACCCAGGGACTTAACAGAGCGTTCATGAGTTTCCACTTAAGAGGTAATAAAACGAATTGGGAGGTTGATTGAAGCCACACTTTGTATCAGGGTGGTCTGGTGTTCGGTAGATTTAGTTCGTATGATGAATGCAGTGGGTCAATACAGTTTTATGGGGACAATCAAACATATGCTTCATACACTGAAGATATATCCGTTGTTATCCACAGAATATATAAAATAGCAGATAGTGCTCTCAGTTGGAACAATAAGGTAGCATTATTGTATTTTATACACTCCTATTATTTCCTGGCATCCTTTTATACATTTTCTTATTTTTTATATATATTTTATATATTTTTTATATTTTTTATTTTCTATTTTTTCCTTTTATTCTACCAATTTATTACTCCCAAGTGTATCCCGTCTCAAGAAATCCTTAGGTGGGGATAATTCCACCAGCGCTGTGGCAATAGAGCAGTATTTGTCTGCTCTATTTTTGTAAATATAATTTATCTTATTTAAATACCTTATTGTTCCAACTGAGAGCACTATCTGCTGTTTTATATATTCTGTGGATAACAACGGATCCCAAGCCAGAGAGACGGACCTATTCTTCCAATATATCCTCAACTACAAAGAGTCTCCTACATCTGAGCTGGTCCTAGCTTACATTTAAGCAACCTGAAGGAATACCAAGCCGGACGGACGGACCGACCATCCCAGTATATCCTATAGTGGGGATTAAACCACTAAGTTCCCTTTCTCCTAGAGCTGGTCCAAGCTCCAACAAATGTGAGTGCAATACCTTTCCTTGATTTATATACCACATCTGGATCTGCAATATTTCACTATTGGCAGCTTTTTCTCTTGTCTTTTTTCTCCACATATATGTACTATTTATCACACGGACGGACCAATATTTGAGGACTAAAACCACACTATATACCAGTGAGGCTGTTCCTATTTATACTACCTAATATCCATATTTTGGACGAACTTTGTTTATTTTACTTACTTATATTATATCTTGGTTCAAATACTTGCTGTTTTTACATTTGCTGATTTTACTTTTATTTATTGATTTTATGCGCAGCCCTTAACTCCTTTTGCCTTCTCTAAATCTAACTAGTGCATTTTTTTCAATGATAAGGTAAACTCTTCCATACAATACTTATTGCACTTATCTGCCAGGGTTGTATCGTCCTCCACCCTCTCTATTTATCTTTGTTATTTGCCCCTCTGCTTTTATCCATCTGCCGTTTGCTATCTTCAGGTGGCTGCTTCCCCTTTCCGTCCGTATCAATACCCCTTCACACCGGGTACACAGCCTCCCGGTAGCGTGCTTATTCTACTCGGAGTTATTCTCTTGACTGCTTTGCTGCTTGCACATTACTTCCCGCCACGCTCATCCACCATTGACCTCCATAGCTCTGCCCCTTCGTACGTGCATGCGAACGTACCTACGTCATCCCATCCCCCGTGTCATGTCATGTGTCCTTCAGTTGTTATTGTATATTATTATTATTATTATATGTCTGGCTAGTAGCATAGGAGTTATTTTAAGCCCTGTGCTAGTACATTATAAAGTGCAGTGAATTTGATCCTGTGCCATATGATTGCGATAGCTATTATTATTTATACAGTTTTATACCCTCTTTTGATTTATGTAGAATATATGATGTGTTCCATACTCTGGGTAAATCAAAAGCTTGCAATAGAAATAATCCCAAAGATTGTTTTGCTTTCCACCATGAAAACTTTAAATTTTTCCCCAGTAGAGGGAACTTAAATACAGAAGAGAAAAAAATGGGAAATTACTGTAATTTAATGCTATTGTTCATCCTCATGTTCACTTTCATAATAAATTGGTAAAATATTTTTTATAAAACAAATAATGAAGCAAACGTCACTGCAGAATTTTCCTATCAGTGGCTTTACTTTTGTAACCTCACCACGGAATTGATCTTCATTCCTAGGATTCTATGCAATACATTTTAATCTTTTTTTTTTTTTTTTTAATTCTTTTTTTTTTTAAGGGAATAAGTCGGACATGTTGGAGCAGAGACAAATTTTGTTTGAAGAAGCTTGTACTCTTGCAGAGAAGCATGGACTGCTGGCAGTCTTGGAAACTTCAGCAAAAGAGGCTCGAAATATTGATGAGGTGTTTCTCCTAATGGCAAAGGAGCTTATAGCACGCAATACCCTCCATTTTCATAAGGAAAGCCCCCGTAACAGTTTTGTACTAGACTCGAGGCCCATTGTTGTTTCACAACCAGAGAAGAATTGCCAATGTTGAATTTGGTTGTAAAAGAAGAAAACTAATTGGGATTTCTTGAGTTTCTCATAGCCAGTATACTGGGTCAGACTATGGTCCCTATTGTGTTCCACAAGTTTTCAGTAAAGGTCTGGTTCCACACCTTTGAACCCGGTGTCAGACAATGGAAATGTAGGACCAATGTGACCTGTGATATACTCTCTCTTTATTAACACTATTACTACAATTTTCAACAAGAACAATTAACGGATTTCAAATAGAGCTTTACATCTGCTAGACCATTACATAATGTGAACGTTAGTGTTCTATTTGCTAGATTGGTGAGTTCTGTTATCATAATATTATATAGGTACAAGTTTGTCCTCTTTTTCAAAATTGGCATTTTATACTCAACAGTGGTTGATATTTATATTATTGTTGTGTTCTGAAAAATGGTCCAAAGTATTGCAAGTGGGGCAATCACCATGGAAACCAGTGGAACCAGCAGTCAGAGCCATGATTACCCCACTTTTACATCTCTGCACCACGTTACAGAGCACAACACGTTCATGAATCATCCCTTGAATATCAATATAAATTTTTGTGATGCTGATTAATAAATAAATCAATTCTTAATCACTGTAAAAACAAAAAAACAAACAAAAAAACAACCTATTGTTTACAATTCTCATAAGGTTCTTGGAATAAACACCTGGTCCAGGGCCAAAAAGTACTGTTTAGCTAACATATACCTATGTTCTGTGTGATATATTATGATGCAGTGATTTTCTGACGAGAGATGTAACCATTTACAAACACATTTTTAATTGTCATGATTAACGATTGAGAACCATCAGTCACTTCCAGATCAGAAGCAGCAATCTAAAGTAAAGCCAAACTTTGTGTATGACTCTGATTTGCAGGTTTGTTAGACTAGACAAACTAGAGTGATTATAATTACAGCATTAGCACTACTCTATGTTTATGTCTTCAAGCTAATCTATAATGAGAATACATTGTTTCAGCAGACGTAACGTTTTATGATATTTTTTACAGCCTTGCACACATTATCAAGCAACAAATATGCATATAATTTTTGGATTGCTAATAAAGCTTAACTTCTCATCATAAACCTAGGAACCAATAATACTCAGAATGAAACTTTTGAACGGAGTTCTAGTTTAATACTATATTTAACATCTATATATTGTGCAAACCAAATGTCTATCAAATGCATACTAAAAAGCAGTTAGTAAAATATTAGATTCATATATGCAGTGGAGGCCACGTGGAAGCATGTGTCTCATTGCATTTGTTGTGTTATTTGTCTTGAAATGCAATCGTCAGACGTCAGAATCTATGTGTGACCATGGGATGGAACTGATATATAAATTAATAGTTAAATAACTGGTCTATAAATTTGGTAATAAATAAATGGGTGATATAAAAATTGGGGATATAACTAGAACTTTGCTATGGTATAAACTACAATAAGGTACTTTGTTGAGCGCCTGCATCTATCCCTAAACATACGTTTTTGACACTGCTTATACACCAATTAGTTTGTTTTGTTTTTTTTCTTGTTCTGGAATCACCACGTAGGAGGAGTCTGAAGTGAAATAAATTAAACTCCAATGTAGTGAAAACAGGGAGTTACTGGTCCATGACCTGTCTCCTACATCAGAGGCATAACTAGAAATCACTGGACCCCGGTGGGAAAATTGTGTGTGTGTGTTTGTGTGTATGTAGGGATGCATTGTGTGTATGTGTAGGGATGCAGTGTATGTTTCTGTGTGTGTAGGGATGCATTGTGTGTGTGAGAGAGTGTTTGCTGGGTAGGACACGTGGAATCGAACATTGCAGTGGTTACCGTGGCAACGCTCTGAAAGCCGGGATTGGGCCAGCTGTGGAGGTGAAGGCTGAGAGCTTCCTGTTCTGGGCCCATTACAAGTGAAAGGGTTGTGGCCCACAATCGCAGAGGTTGCAGCTGTGGCCACGCCCCCTGGGGTGCAACCGTGGTAAGTACGCCACTGTCCTACATGGTACATACCTTCTCCTTGAGCACCAGGGACCCCAACTATTTTTTAGTCAGTAACCAATCCCTCTGTCTGCTCCATCTATTTAGGCACGTATTTACCTCTCTGCCTGTGCTGCCCCTTAATACTGCCTATACAAAGTAACTTGCATCTCATAGACCTAACTCTTTACTTGGAGGTTCCCAGGAACATTGCAACCAGAAAGCAGGTTCTAAATTTCTGGTACTGGAACTCCTGAAAGAGCCTAGCCCCTATCAGCATTACATTAGACTTGTGGTAACTCAAAAAACCCTCTAGATTTTAAGCTTGTTTGAGCAGGGTCCTCATCAATCTATTGTTCCTGTAACATTTTGTAATTGTCTTATTCATTGTTAAATTTCCTCCTTTATAGTATAAGTTGTCACTATATAAATGATAAATATATAAAACATAACAGATAAAGGAAAACACAATAAAAATGATAAGGAGTTTATTATGAGAATATAATGAAATAAAACTTAGCACACTGACTGCAATTTCTATGCTATGCAGATATATGCAAATAGGACACACAGCGGAGGATGCATTTTTTTAGGTGGGAGGGGGGAAAAATGCATCTCAGCTGTGTAACCAAAGATCCTTAACCCCTTAAGGACGCTGGATGGAAATTTTCCGTCATTGCAGCACTCCCCTTAAGGACGCTGGACGGAAAATTTCTGTCCATAATGAAAATTAACCCCTGATTGCCATAAATGCGGCAATCCTGGGGTTAATATTCCTGTAGTGTGTCTCCATATCGGAGGCACACTACCATAGGCAGTTTCACTGATTCAGCCCATGTGATCACTCTAACTGGGAGTCAGAGCAATCACATGTGCTGCAGTGAAACCAGATCTGTTTCCCTGCAGATACATTTTTAACTGCAGAGAGACAGATAGGTGCTTATCTGTCTCTGGCTGTAAAAAAAAAAAGTTAGTTACAAAATCCCACCCCCCTCACCTCTTTCAAATAAAATTTAACCCCTTCCCTGCCCTTTGATCACTGCCTGTAGTGATCAAAATACAGATCACAGTATTTCACTGTGATCTGATTTTTTTTTAACCCCTGAGGGTTAACTTTTATTTTTATTAATCCTCAGGGGATAAATGTATTTAATTAATTTAAATATTTTAAAATATTTATTTATTTAACTAGGGTGGGTAGAAGTTAGTGGGGAAATTGGGGGATTTACGGTTAGGCTAGTTAGGGGTTAAAAGTTAAAAAAAACAATTAAAAGTTAAAAAAACTTTTTGAAGTTTAAACAAAGTTTTAAAATAGTAAAATAAGTTGTTAAAAGCTAAATAAAACTTTTTAAAAGTTAAAAAACTTATAAAAAGTTATAAAAATGTTTAAAAAAGGGGGAAAATGCGTATTACCTCTACACTTGGTACAGGCTAGCGAAAAAATTATACCACGCTAAGGTTTCAAATATGCCTTTTGAAACACCCTGGGGAAATCTTTAGGAAATGGTATGCCTTTGTGAAGTAATTGGAAAACACAACCTATTAAAAAAATTCCAAAGTGGGGCATGGACACAGCGTAAAAATTCTAACTTAAATGGCTGTGTCTCAAATGTACCCCTTCAACGTTGTCATATACCTGGTAAAGGTACATACAGGGGTATTGCTGTACTCAGATGACATAGCGGAGCAACATATGATGTATTATACTGCTGTAGCACATATAAGGTTTGCAAAATATATATTACAAACTCGAGTATGTCAAAAAGGCATAGAAAATGCTTATTACCACTACACTTGGTTTAAGCTAGCGGAAACATTATTTCACGCTAAGGTTCAAAACACGTCTTTTGAAATACCCTAGGGTGTCTTCTTTAAGAAATGGTATGCCTTTATGGGGTAGCTGGAATAATTAACCTACAAAAAAAACCTCCAAAGTGGGGTATGGATACAGCGTAAAAATGTAAAGTTTGAAAAAACTTAAATGGCTGTGTCTCAAATGTGCCCCTTCAATGTCTGCATATACCTGGCAAAGGTACATATGGGGGTATTGCTGTGCTCAGACGACATAGCTGAGGATGTATTATATAGCAGTAGCACACATAAGGTTTGCAAAATACACAGTACAAACTCATTGGGTGTGTCAAAAAAGCAGAAAAAATGCTTATTACCACTACACTTGGTACAAGCTAGCAGAAAAATGATCCCACGCTAAGGTTAAAAATATGCCTTTTGAAATACCCTTGGATGTCTTCTTTAAGAAATAGTATGCTTTTATGGGATAGTTGGAATATATAGCCTGGTAAAAAAACTGTAAAGTGGGGTAATAGCACAGCATAAAAATTCAAAGTTTGAAAAAACCTGCAATGGCTGTGTCTGAAATGTGCCCCTTCAACGTCCACATATACCTGGCAAAGGTACATACGGGGGTATTGCTGTACTCAGACAACATAGCTGAGCAACATATAAAGTATTATAAAGCCGTAGCACACATAAGGTTTGCAAAATATACAGTACAAACTCACTGTGTGTCAAAAAGGCAGAAAAAAATGCTTATTACCACTACAAGCTAACGGAAAAATTATCCCACGCTAAGGTTCAAAATTTGCCTTTTGAAATACCCTCGGGCGTCTTCTTTAAGAAATAGTATGTCTTTTTGGGGTAGTTGGAAAAAGCAGCCTGCTAACATGTTTAAAAATAGAATACGGACCCATTAAAACTCTCCATGTAAATTCACACTTAAAAACCTGAACTTGTCACGTCTCTTTCACAGCACTGTAACTTCACAAAATAGTGTCTAGGTTATACATTGGGCTTATTGTTTTACTCAGAAGAGGTAACTGAGCATACTTAGGGGGAATTTATGACAGTGGCACTTATCAAATGTAAGAAATACCCAGCGAAAATGCAACATGTATGTAAAAAAAATTATTATTTTTTTCTCACCACAAAATTTGAAATAAATTGGTGAAAAAATGGTAGCAAGTTAAGGTGTAATATATGCCTAATAACATACCCTGGAGGGCCTTTGTGGGGTTATTTGAACAGTCAAATGGCTACAATGCCACAAAATCAGACATATAACCATCTATGAAAATTCCAACTATAGAAACTGAAAAAGCATGGTCTCCTATATAGCATTGTAGCTTCACAGAATAGGGGCAAAGGTATACAATGGGTGTATTGTTTTACTCAGCAGATGTAGCTGAACACAATATGGGGTTCTGTACAGGGATAGCACACACTAGGTTTACGAAAGGCATATTACAAAAACCTTGTAATATGTGTATATGCCAAAATAGAGAAAAAATTTAATTTTATTCCAATATTTAGCAGAGATTGGTGGTGAAATGGCTACGCAAAAAGTGTCAAACTAACCTTAGGTAAATAGCCTGTGATGTCTTCTTTATGTAAATATATACTTTTGTGTGGCAATTTTGTTTCCTGTAATGGGTATTAAACTTCCAAGACAAACATACCAAAAATTGTTTCACATTGAACTTTTATTTTAGACCTTGTAGTTTGTGACCTGTAACTTTCAAAATAAACTGAAATTCTACACATATTATGCACTTTGCAAATCAAGACACATAAATTAATTGAATTTGAATTACTTTTCCTAAGCTGGACATATGCACACATTATTATTGCCAAAACTTGGGGAAAAAAGCATTTTTTTGTTTTTTTCCACATTATTTTGCATTTGTTTGGTAATAAATGAGAATTTATATATGTATATGTCACATCAAATTAAAGCACTTTTTGTTGTCTAAAAAACGGTATATTATATGTGTTGGTACAATAAATGAGAGAGATGCAAATTGCATTTGAACACAAACAGCAAAAAATGCAAAAATTGCTTGTGTCCTTAAAGGACCACTCTAGGCACCAAGACCACTTCAACTTAATGAAGTGGTCTGGTTGCCAGGTCCCTCTAGGATTAACCCCTTTTTTATAAACATAGCAGTTTCAGAGAAACTGCTATGTTTATAAATGGGTTAATCCAGCCTCCAACTCCTCTAGTGGCTGTCTCACTGACAGCCGCTAGAGTCGCTTGCATGATTCTCACTGTGAAAATCACAGTGAGAACACGCAAGCGTCCATAGGAAAGCATTGTAAATGCTTTCCTATGAGACCGGCTGAATGCACGCGCAGTTCTTGCCGCGCGTGCGCATTCAGCCGAAAGGGAGGAGAGGAGGAGGATCGGAGGCGGAGAGCTCCCCGCCCGGCGCTGGAAAAAAGGTAAGTTTTAACCCTTTCCTCTGCCCAGAGCCGGGAGGGAGGGGGACCCTGAGGGTGGGGGCACCCTCAGGGCACTATAGTGCCAGGAAAACGAGTATGTTTTCCTGGCACTATAGTGGGCCTTTAAGGGTATGTCCAGCTTCTGAAGCGGTGTCCTTAAGGGGTTAAAGGCCTTGCCTACAACAGAAAATTTTGTTGTTAAACTCACATTGATATCTGTTCTACACTGGAAGACTTAAATCTGAATGATTTGTAGAATTAAGGTGACTACCTGCTGGCACAATAGATTTATAAACCAGCTGAACAGGTGTCTCCCAGCACAAACAACAGGCTTCCAGTCAAATACTTCAAGAAACTATTTCTAAACCATCCACAAACAAGTGATTTAATTATAGCTCAATGACTATTCATTTTCAAAGTATGAAAATCATAGAAGAAGAATGAGACAGTGTACAGAGGAATTTTTAACAAATTCCTCTTTCATTGCACAGGTAGTTAAAAAGACAGGAAAAGTGAGGCACAGCATTAGCAATGTATGTCATCATTTTAACTGTTTCATAACAAAGGTTAAGTAAAGTATTTATATTGTGACAGTGCTCTGCCATCATTTCACACAAAGGAATGAGAAAGCACGTTTTTCTTCTTAAAGGACCACTCTAGGCACCCAGACCACTTCAGCTTAATGAAGTGGTCTGGGTGCCAGGTCCTTCTAGGGTTAACCCATTTTTTTTATAAACATAGCAGTTTCAGTGAAACTGCTATGTTTATCAATGGGTTAAGCCTTCCCCTATTTCCTCTAGTGGCTGTCTCATTGACAGCCACTAGAGGCGCTTGCGTGCTTCTCACTGTGATTTTCACAGTGAGAGCACGCCAGCGTCCATAGGAAAGCATTGAGAATGCTTTCCTATGTGACCAGCTGAATGCGCGCACAGCTCTTGCCGCGCGTGAGCATTCAGCCGACGGGGCGGATCGGAGGAGGAGAGGAGGCAGAGAGCTCTCCGCCCAGCGCTGGAAAAAGGTAAGTTTAACCCCTTTTCCCCTTTCCAGAGCCGGGCGGGAGGGGGACCCTGAGGGTGGGGGCACCCTCAGGGCACTATAGTGCCAGGAAAACGAGTATATTTTCCTGGCACTATAGTGGTCCTTTAAATGTCAGTATGTGGGAGATATTTCAAGGCAAATACAGGTGTTAAATATTGAGTAATCACCATAAAAAAACAGTAAAATGTTTAGCAACATTTAGTGAATTTCAAATTTAAGGCCAAAATAGCCCAACTGGAAAAATTGTCTAACTCGGCCATGTTTCAGCTAGCTTTGCCTGAAATTAGAAATTCTTCCATTTGTAAATAACCCTGTAAGTGCTCTAATTATAGCACCTGTTTTGCCTTAATAGATTTATCCATATATGTTTTTTGCATATGGAAAATTATTATTCGTTCAGCAAATCCATGAATGTGGACAACTTTTTAGGATTCATCTCAAAATATATAGTACTATGGCTAGCACATGCCATTCATATAATGCTAATGCCACAAGATTTTTTATTTTTTGTTGTTTTCCAGTTGTCTATTATAGAGAGAAATTCTATATAGCATGATTCCTATATTTACTTAGACATTTTGTGTTACTAAACATTGAGTGACATCATGTAGGCAGAAATAGCTGATTAGTAAGCAATCTCCAATTCTTTATTAAAGCAGCACTGTCGCTGCTAGGGAAGGGATAGGCAACCTTCGGCACTTCAGATGTTAGGGACCCAGCGCCTTGGCATTTGTGCCTGAACTGGTAATTTAATTAGCAGCTGGACACCTTGGCATCGGGTTAGCAAAAACAGTGAAAATATATGGTTCCCATACCCACATCCCCACAACAATGCTATCCCCAAGAAGCTCTCTTGTGAGCACACAATCTGTCCAAGAAGTGCTCAGCTCGGAGGTGTTAAGCCCGAACTAGGTGGAAGGTGATGTTTTCAGAGGGCTGTGACCAGGGGCGTACCTAGAGCATTTGGCACCCAGGGCGGCTCCTATTTTTGGCAATCTTGCCCCCCTCTAAACTTTAAATGGAAAAAACAACCAACATTATTTTTAATGTATTTAGCACTGAGCAGTGTTTTTGTGTCAATGCATGCATGTTTTTGTATGGAGTATGTGTGAGTGAATGTAGGGGTGTGTTTTTATGTAGTGTTGGCGTTTGAATGCAAGCATGCATTTGTGTGTTGTGTGGTATTTGAATATAGTGGTATGGTTATATATAGTGGTGGGGTTTGTATGTAGTGTTGACGTTGAAATGCATGAGTTTATTTGTGTGCAGTGTTGGCGAGATTTTGAGATGTATGCACATATACACATACACGGACATACACACATGCAGATACATATACACACACATGCAGATACACAGAAACACAGTCATGCACAGATACACATTAACACACATGCAGACATCATGGCGACTCTAGGAACAATATATGGGGGGGCACATAACATACCACAGTCAAAACGGGAAAGTGGGGGGAAGAGGGTGAGCAGTAAAACTTTTCACTAGGGGATGGGGTAATATGCTGCCATTGGCTGTCTGATGCCAGCATGCTGTGCTCTGCATGCTGGCATCTGACTACACATTTGCATATAATTCACATTAGCCACCCAGATTCCTTGTTGTGGGCTGGCTGACACTTCTTAATTTCAATTTTTGTTTAGCAGATAACTCCTCTATTTGCTATCCTTATGTGGGATTGCCATATTTAAGGACCCCAAATAAGGTGCTATCTGCTAAGCAGCACCCTCATTTGGTATCTTTAAATATGGAAATCTCACACACAGGCACCAATTCAGGGAATTATCTACTAAACAGCTAAACGATAAAAATTTAAAAAGCCCTTTTCAGTTGTTTAGTAGGATTATGTGGGATTGCAATATTTAAGGACACCAAATAAGGGAGCTATCTACTAAACACATACACATAGATACACACAATCACACACATAATCACAGATATACACAAACACAATCACAGACCCACACACATACAATCACAGGTACACAATCACACACACACACAAACATTACATACATTTAATAATTAAGAGGTCCACCCAGCCTCCCTACCTGGCTCTAGAAGGGCAGAAGTGGATCCTCAGTCCCTGGTGGTCAGTGGTAGCTGCTGGCATCTCTGTGCTCTTCCTGCACAGGTCCCTCGCACGCCCTGTAAAGACGCCGAGGCCGCGATGACATCATATCCTGGCTGCCGACTCACTGCAGGGCGAAGACCGTCAGACACAGTCAGATGCACACAGTCCCACACACAGTCAC